AAAAAAAAAATAGTTCCTTTGTAGGGACCATTACAATTTTTTTTTTTATTTTTTTTTCGGAACGATAGATGAATTATTATAAATCAAAAGCGCACAAAGTGCGAATAAAGATACAAAACTCCCAACGGGAGAATAAAATGGGAGGACCATTACACGTTGTTTTCGGGACCATTACAAGTTGTTTTCGGTTGTTGGCTCTTTTTATCTGGTCAAAGCATACATGACATGAGCATGCATATGTTACTTCATTTTCTTTGTATACTTTTATGGCCTTGTCGTTTTAAGACATTGTTTGTCATAATATATTACAAGTCTTTGTCATCTGCAATGAGAAATCATAAATGGATTGATTGATTTTGGGACGATTACAACCATTGAATTTTTGAATAACCCCAAATTCATTCTTCAAAATTTTTTAAGGCACATAAATCTCCTGCTCATTTGAAGCATTCCTCACCTTTCTACTACACAATTTAGGGCTGTGAGACACCTCGAGCTCGAACTCGAGCTCGAGCTCGTATTTTGCATTATCGGTCGAGCTGCTCGATATATATGTTAAATTACTAAAATACCTCTTATATATATTTAAATAGTATAATACAAGTGCTTAATGGTAGTTTTACTCTTCTATTTAAAAATTTTCGAGCCGAACTCGAGCATTTTGATTTCGAGTCGAGCTCGAGCCTCACAAATCAAGCTCAAGCAGCTAAAAGAAAAATTCAATCCTGCTCGATAAGCCAATGCTCGACTCAGCTCGACTCGTTTGCAGTCCTACTACACATTATCAACCAACCACTAACAGAGTGGGATTGTGTGGAAAACACACTTGAACCTTCAAATTATTAAGCAATTAGCATTTTATAAGTTTTTATTTTATTTTATTTTCTTGCCCTTCCTGTTACCATTTGTCGGTTGAACTACCCGTGTCTTTTAGTTTTATCTCTACGTGTAGCCGAGCCGAAAACCGAACCGAACTCAAGCTTGGGCTCGTGTCTTTATGAAGCTGAACATATAAATGTTAACAAATCGAACTTTGGACTTAACGATTCGAGCTAAGGTAAAATTCAAGAACTACGTAAAAATCCTTATTTTCGAGGCTTAGCAAATCTTACCGAGCCGAGCTCGGATTGTTTGATTGGCCGAAGTGAGCTCACAAACGGCTCGTTTCATTTGTATTTTTGCAGTTCGAAAGCACTAAAATTTTCAATGATTTTTCCACTAAAAATTTTGATTTTATAAAAGCTTGGAGCATCCAAAGTTCCAACCTACCCTGCAAGAAGCAGACAGTGCATGGGGGCATAGAATTTGGCTTATATATCAGTGGGGACATGCATAGGCCATCAGACAAACCCTTGACAAGTCAAATTTGCCAGCAAACCTTGTTTTCTTAGTTCCTTCTAACTGTCTTTCCTTTTGTTTTCTTCACAAACTCCAACAATGACTCATCAAACTTTGTTTCACAAGTTAAAAGATGCACTTAATGTTCTCTTTCTCTGTTAGGAGTACAGAACCAAAAATATGAACTTCGAATCATGAGAAGGGAATCATCGATCAATGGCTCAACAGATATCGATTGGATAGTCTACTAAAAGACATCACTTTTGTTACACCGACGATAGGAGTAATTTTAATCCGCAAATTTGGAAGAATTGCAATTGTGAAGTGAAATATGAGATAATACGATCAAGTTACTTTTGTTCAGCCTGAAGGTGTGAAAAACTTCAGTCATGACAAGAAAAACTTCGTACAGTAATGACGAGAGTAATATGGACAATCTATTGAAACATTTTTATGCCCCCAAAGTATCTTTTCCAGACAAGCAGCGAAAAGAGAACATTATTTTCTTCACACGGAGTCATATATAAATAAATCCACATGCATCATGGTAATAGTTAAAGTACTGGTCAGAAAAGTCTCATCCAAAATTATGGGTGTTTCAGAATATATGTTGATTTGAATGGTCATGGAGTCTCATACCGCCGTTTGTGAGGAGGAATTTGTCACGAGTCATCTTTAGGAAAGCCAAAATTTTCGAACAGGCCCTGAAATATTAGAGAAATAACGCACGTACACTGAGTGACATGCAACACAAATGGTCACTTCCAAGAGAACTAGTGCTTACCAGAGCATCATTGATGGCACAGGTCACACAATAATGCTCCTGAAATAAGAAAATTTGGATATTTATTCAGTAGATCAAAATATGATTAGCCAAAGTTTTCCTGTCACATATAATGGGTGTTCATGGAGTGATGTATGCATAAAAGGCAAACAGAATCATGCTATAAAAACATAATACGCGACAAACGCCGACACAATAAACACATGGCAAGATAGTGTTCACACATGACATCATCCTTAAAATCATCAATCTTTGCACTTACACGACATTTAATTTCAATCTTTATATCAAAATTTTAGGTCAAAGTAGCATATTTCAGCAAGAATGAGAAAAGGACCATACTTCGCATTTTTCAGCATTTTTATATCAATCTTTGCGCTTACATATCATTGAAATTTACGCATGCAAATTTAGTCAAAGGGCCATACTTATTTCTTTAAGATTTACAAGTGTCTTGCAGCAATAAAAGGCTTGTGCTCATTTTCGTTTTCTTGTAGTAATATTTTGTACTCCAAGGGGCGCTTATTTAAACCAGAATACAAACCATCTGAAACTGTGTCTGACAATAAAATAATAACACTATACCAGCACAGCCGAAAGAGGCACTTATGTACTTGCCTGCATCATGTACCACTCTTCAAACTCATCAAACAACTCCAGCCGTTCAATCCTAATCACGATAGAAGAGAAGAACGATTAAAAAGAAACTGAAAATGAATCGAACGTTAAAGACTTATTCACAGGCACTTTATAACCATGCAAATGCGAAAAGGCTGGATCTCCCAAATGCAACCCAAACTACTAAGTATTTATAACGTTAAGTAACATGTTTGACTTTATTTTACTTATATGCCTACTAAAAAATGAAGGCATGAAAGTATAATAATCATCAACTTAGATGATATATTTTACTTTTTCAACAATAGTGATTGTGTATTCTTAACTGTGAAAAATAGTTGTCATAAGCCTATCTTTGTGCGACAGGAGTACAATTTTCCATCCCATTCCAAGTCTAGACTCTGAAAAATTATTATTTTATATATTATAGTGGCAATTAATTTACTCAGTATTAATTTATAGAGGTTACTGCATCTAGTATAAGCCTTTCATCATCCAACAATGTGTTGTATATTATCAACTCATGAGGTGAAAAACAAAGTGTCAGCATAACTTGTGCAGTTTCTTGCTAGATTAAGAAATATATGTACCTTCGTCTTTCTTCAGCTTCAATAAACGTTCGATAAACTTTCAGCATGTCCCATGCAACAGCTCTCTAGGGTATCACAGAAATACGGGAATAAGATTGGAGTTAAGGAAGCAGTCTGTCAAGCTCTAGAATGGAGAACGTAAAAAAGATAAAACATTCAAAACAATATAGACATAGAGAGGCTACTATTTGCAGTCTCTGCATGCCTGTAGAAAAGAAAAACTGAGCCTAATCGCTGTGCTATATGCATGAGACCAAGTAATAAGTGATGCTTGTTCATTCCTACAAGGCGCTACACTATCATAAATACACAATGATGATTTTAAATTTCCAGAGTAGCCATCTTTTGAGAAATAAACCCTAAAACCCAAAACTCAGCAAGAAATATTCTCTTAAATAGCCTATTCCCCTAAAGAAAGTACCAAACAGTCTTCCACAAAAAATGTCCTTCACAGTTTCATATTGTACACCTCGTATGTGTATGCCAAACAACTGAATTTATTTGCAGGAGTAACAGTCCACCTTCCCCTAATAAAAAAAATAGCTTCTATATTTTATACTCCGTTCACTAAAAATTGCAACTTTGTCTTTTTCTTTAACTTTTCTTTCAGGGAAACAAAAAAAATAAAAGTAAATGTTCATTTTACAGATCCCTTTAGGATGCTCAAATGTTAAACTAATAGGCTTTCTTAACAAACTAAATAACTCTTCTCCAATTTTGTTAGATAACATGCAAAACAAGATATGAAGTTTCCTTCTTTTATCAAATATGACGGATTATATAATTTGGAAACCATGATTTTGAAATCATAATTAGAAAATACCTGCCATCCTTGATCAAGAAAAAGCCTCTCCTTCGCATGTAAAGTTGGAGTAGCATAGATGCCTAACAGTGCACATCCCCGAATCTGATGAAAACACAGTTCAGTTCACTACCATGTTGAACTTTTTTCACATTATCTTATTAAGTAATGTTTTAATTTCTTTTCTGTTGAGAATGCAGTACCATCCTCTTTCTTACAGCACCAGAAGTAGGAAGTGTAAATATTTATAGCACAATAATAGTTCATGATGAGAGACGGTCCGAAAAACTCTAGTCGATTTTAATGTCATTTTGTCCAAAAGGAGAGAGGAATAGAAGCATTCAAGAACACAAACAAAACAATGAACAATTGGATTAATTGGCTTAGAAAAGAACAAGATCAACAAAGTTTTAGTGTTCATAGCTGAAGAAAGTGTAAATGATTCCACGAATTGATAGAGCAAACCACACAGCTAGAGTCCAACGAAATTCCTGTGACTGATCAATATCTCATAGTGCAACTCATAGCATCAAGTTTTGTCAACCCCAAACAAAAATATACGCTGTCCTTCCCAAAACGATAGTCGGTGTTTCTATTTATGGTGTCCCATAAATAGTCTTGTCCCCATAAATATAGTACTTTATCGAAGTCACTAAATAAAATTATAATTAATTTAGGAAATTGTCTTAAGCCTATCATGTCGGTTCATAAGGAGTAGTCTTTATAATATTCATTTTGCATACGAAGTTGAAATATTGCTGTCTTTCACCTGCACTGGCAATGAAGAGGGGACAAAAAAGAGTTACCCAAGTCCTCCGAAATATTAAATTAACTGATGCTGAAGACAACATTATTAGTTTTCACTTTTCAAAGCCTTACTGTTACGAACTAGATCTGCTTCATTACTGATGATAACTAAAGGTACATGAAAATGCATTAATACCTCCAGATTTCTTAACATTTGTTGACCGAAAGCATCATCAGGATGGATCTGTTGGCAGCAAAATGTATTCTCAGAGCAGTGGAGGAAAATATAATCAAGTAGCCAAAAGAGAAAAGACAATATAATAGTAACACGAATTCAAACATAGCAAATCACAGAAGAAAATACATTGAAGTTTCGTCAAGGAACAGAGGACAGGAAAGTTCCATAACCTGCTCATATAAGAAAAATATAGCTGTCGGAAATGTTCTAGAAGCCCATCCAACTATATCGCGGTTTGACTCAGGATCTAAGTAAATAAGAACACATTCTGCGATAATAAAAGTCGGCAAACTGATAATAGCATTAGAACAAAGGTAAATAATAGAAGTTGGCAAATAAGTAATAGCATTACTGTTAGAGTAAGGCAAAGCCAGAATTCAGATCTTTGTGGGTGGTTCAAGTGGCATTAGAAAGAGAATGGTGTCAAATTATTATAGCAAACACACATACCTCGGATCTATGGCAGCCAAAGAAATTATATCATCAAGATTCTTAATATCACGCAGGTCGACAGGGAGGATTTTGTAGTGATCTCCTAGCACTTCTCCTTTCTCTGAACAATTTCAGACAGTTTATAAACTAAGAAAATAATCTTATTGAGCAATAACAACAGTTCCAATATTAATAATATATGGTGAAAAATGTGAATACAATCACATTTAAAGGTACACCATACAAATATAACAAGAATTTTTTTTTTTTTTAAATCCGTGCCTATTTTCTTTGAAGAACTTTGAAGTTATAAGTTTGTTTATCTGATAAAATATGAAAGGAATGGACTGAGACAATTTGGTAAAAACATAATTATCTTGTTACGTTAGAAAATATAGGCCTCCCTTTGAGGACATTTGAAAGAGAAGTTATAGGTTGGCATTCCACACATTTGAAAAGTAATCAAATGTCTCATCACGATTGCAAGATATAGAAAGTAAGAGTTGTATGTTGATATCCCATAGTTTTAAATGCGAAGGATCTCGTGTCAATAGACTAATTATTCTTACCTTGTGAGATTGAGAAATCAAATATATCATCATGATTGCAAGATAGAGAAAGTAAGAATTGTATGTTCAAAGTTCCATAGTTTTAAAAGGGATGATCTTCATGTCCCAACAAATTATTGTTACCTTGTGATATTGATGCAGCTTCACCGACCTTGCTCCTCAACTGAACTGAGTTCTCTACAAGAGCAGCTTTCTTGCTCGTCACCTATTAAAGCACCATGACATGAGAAGAGAGAGCCACCATATAAAATATAGAAGTTTCAATCAAGAGCCTTTATCGCTACAAGTAATGACTACAGGTAACATAGAGATGATCAAAGCAGAATTGACATTGTCAAACTTAGTTAATTTTTTTAGATCACAACAGTAAATACAGATAAGAGATGAGACTCTTTTGGGAAGAGGAAAGGATAAACAATTAGGAAAAGACAAAATTTTCACCTCTTTGAAATCTAATTCCACATAAAGATGAGGTGCTTTCCCTTCATCCTGTAAAAGACAAACAATTCAAATGAAAGTGTGTGACTTGCACTTTACTGGTTTAGCTTAATATATTACGGCAGCCACGACAGTGAGAACATTCTTCCAAATTGTGGGGTCCACCCCTCCACACAATTCCTCGAATGTTCACACGCCACAATAAAAAATCGGGCAACCCAAATATGGACCAGCCACTTCACTGATATTAAAATACTAAACGAAAAACAAAACGAGGGTAATAATAGTATAAAAAATGATGAGATTGGTGTCCAGGGTCTAGCTTAATGCCCTAGCATTGACATTTTCGCACGAGACATTATCCTCCGTAATTGTGGGGAAAACATTTAGTCGCGGGCATTTGGGTAGATAACCTTCCAAAAGCACCCTATAAGGACTGCTCTTAAGAATATAACAATAGCAAGAAGGGATAGCAAAACTATACGCAAAGAAAAGTTCCCGGGTCTCGCGAGATGCATTGAGTAACTAACCAAAAATGATTATGAAGAAAAAAAAAAGTATCATACAAAGGAAAGATCTATCTAATTCATATGCAGGGTGGAAATTAGATACTGCATCACATGAAAAACTCAAAACACCTGCAGTTGGAAAAATGTAGTATCGAAGCCAGCTCCAAGAGACAATATTTGCTTCTTGTTACTTTTCTCATCCACATTTTCCCCACAGTCAAGAAACTTGTAAAGAAGTTTCCTAAGTGCCGCATACCGAGCAAAATATCCTTTACATACAACACAAAACCAAAAATTTAAGAATGAAAAAAAAAAGATCAAGAATAAGAAGAAATTTAAATTACTACTGGAAGTTAAGGAAAACATTTGAATCATACCACGATTAATTATGGGGGATCTCCTTACAGGCCTTTTAACAAACAAATGGATGTAGTCATCTTTCATGTATCCCTTCTTGACGCAAGACCTTTAGCAAGTAAATACAGGTGCATAAGTGAGAGTTAGCACGGCTGAATACTGATAGCACTGTTCAGTGGAACTATGACAAAATAGATTTATAAAATCTACATATACAATGTAACAGATGGTTATGCATAACCATCACGACAACAAAAAGGATTTTGGATTCTTTGCTGTCAATGGATATTTCATCTACAAAAGCCACGTTCTGTTGCACAAGTTATGTAGAGTATCATAACCCTGCTATCACCTATAAAATTATATCACAGATCATCAGCTATTGCCTTCCTTCTCCCAGTGGCTATTTAAAAGAGAATAATCTATTTCAGTACTGCATTGTTTTCACACTGATCCAGACCCCAACTTGTTGGGAATATACTGGGTATGTTGATGTTGACAAATCTCCTTATAATGTCCAGAAAACCCATTTCTATGCTTCAAATGGATACCCATCTTAGGCAATCAGAAACAGAACAGGGTAATTTACACTTGGTAAACGGTGTTATACATCAAGAAAAAACAGTAAATTATACACTTGAGCTAGTAGTGTTATTTATATCATATGTGTGTCAAACAAATACAGGAAATTAACTGATCAAAAGTAATTGTGCTAAATCCCATACATCACGTTCCAAATGGCTAGAACAAACTGAAAGTCGAACTACGCATTGCTATAACAAATTGAAAGTTGAACTACAGATTACTACCAGTCCAAATGGAGTACACAGGTTAGTAGCATTTGGTTAGAACAGATTCAAGCATTCACCGAGAGAACAAATATGAGGTAGAAAATAATAACATCTCAAAAAGTATAAGATCGGCCACTTCAGTCTGAACAATCTCCCATTAATTTATACCGAAAATCTGAAATTCTACATTACAGCTCTTCGTCTACCGAATTCATTGAGCTTCCTCAGAAAATTTGGTGCATTTCATGGAAAATCTAATCTTAATAAGTTGAACTGAGTTATCTGACAAAAAATGGAACACAGATGCATAAAAGAAATTAGAGGTCGTACAGCTTGCTGGCGGAGGCGTCATCGTTGGTGGCCTGGACCGCCGCTCGGTTGCTCCGGCTTTCGGCCGCCGGTTTCGCCATCAAATTAGCATAAACGCGCGCACGCAGGCACACACACAAATGAAGGAGATTTTTTTTATGGATAAACTGGTGAAATAAGTGCGTTTTATTTCATGGTAAGGTAATATAAGATAAATAAAAATTCATTTGTTAATAAATATTATAGTTTTATTTTTCAATTTAATTTGATAAACAAATTTAATTTTTTCTTTGTAAAGACGAGTAAAAAATATTTTTACTTTATATAAACACTAAGATTGTCAAATCAATTTCTTTTAATTACATTTGTAGACTATAAATATGTGATCTAAAGAAGAGATGACTTGGGTTTCTTCCAGCTTAATCAGTGGTCTCGTGTTCGAGCCTTGGAAATGCAGGAGTGTTAAAAACCCTTGAGGGAGAGCTTTGCCGCCCTTGTGGTCCTACCCGGCTCGATTACAGATTAGTCGATTCCCCTATGGATCCAGAAACCGGAAGGTCCCTGTACCAAACAAAAAAAAAA